TGGGATGGTTTTGAATATGATCCAGAAACAGTATAAACAGTATAAACAGTGAGCCGGACATCTGACACAAGTGCTTACATATGAACTCTGATTACAAAACACACACCTTCCACTTGAACTAACCACCATGAACCTCGACTCCATCTGCCCCTGAACACTGGTGATGAGCCCTTTACAGAACCATCCGGAAGGCGAAGGCGTTCCGACATCCCGTAAGAGGACAGGTGTTTCATGAATTTTTCATAGTGAAATAAAGTATTAGGGAGGCAACACAGTTTCAGAAAGGCTACCAGCACCACTTCTCATTTTCACAAAAATCTTAGAAGTGTTAAGACTTAGTTTCACAATCTGGTAGCAATAGTAGGATTGTGTCCAGGGGCTAAGCAAAATGTACGTCTGTGAGCTACTGTGTTTCCCTACAGATGAAATGTGCAAACGTTAAATAACTTGGGCCGCATTTATTCCTCTTAAGATCGAACGATAGTATTGAAAGAGCCCATAAAATGGCACCTTTTACATTTATTCTTGTTGTATTTAAAATAAGTAAATAAAATTCCATTCAATACATTTAAATCTAGTTAGGTTCTAACTACTCCCCCTGCCTGCACCGCTCCATGCTACCAACGACCTTTGCTGTAATTTACATGTTTCTCCCAACTCATTCTGAAGTAATTATGTTGATCTCTGGTTTTAGACCTCCTCTATAGAATTTAATTTCCGTTGGTACTATTATCTATACATCATCACAATGGCTTTGAGCGAATCTTTGTATAAAAATATTCTGGTCTATTTCAGATATTTTCAAAATCTGGATTATATAGAATGTATTAAAGCTAGTAGGTTTCAAAAGAAAAATGAATACAATGACGGTACATGGATGTTTTCTAAAAATGAGGTTCTAAAATCGAAGAAGGCATCAAAAATACATTTTCATCCACTGGAAAAAAAATGTTTCCCGTTATGTAAAACAAAATTATAAACACGTTTTCTCTGAACAGCAACCGCAACTACAGGCTATGCATTTCCCAACAATTCAGTCATTTTTTTTTTTGCCATCTTTTTGTTAGTTCTAACTTGATTATCAAATAATTTTTATTTTTACACTATTACAGAAGTGCATTTCTCTGGGTTTCCAAAACCACCTTATTCAACCTCCCCCATCTGTCACCATCTGCTTCCTTTTAGCGTGTACTTTTTGTGTGATCGCATAAACACGTGAAAAATAACTACCGTGCAGATGACTATCTGCCGGTACATTTGAGGACTGGGCATAATAAAAGTGAACTGCCAAAACGCACTTAACACTTTTAATTTTGTTGGGTCTTGCATGTGAGCCGCATTTGATTTTCAGACTGTTTTGCAGTTGGAGAGTTGATCAGGTACTGCTAACTCAAGAGCAAAGCTGAGACTAAATAATTAGCACTGCATAAAATGGCTTGGGTTCGGTGAGAGCCAACTCGGATAATAAACCTTAACACGAAGGTCTGATGCGTGATTTCTAATTTTTTTCTTTTAATCATTTCGAGGAGTGAAAAGAAGAGTAGAGTTTGCAAAAACAAATTCCCCGCAAAATATATTATTGTCCATAATGTATGGCAGGTCAAGTTTATTTCCTTCCAGTGGCAGTAGGAGCGAAAACACATTCATTTATAACTCTGTGTGCAAGTGCATTTTTTGAGCTGTAACTCACCAAATGCATAGTTTGTTTTACTACTAAGACTGCATTTCTGCAATCTCTTGAAAAATACATTATTCCCAGCCTCCCCCACCCTGTAACACTAAAGATCTATAATTCTTCATCAAAAGACCTGAGGACAAATATTTTAAAAATATTCCTTTTTCAACAAATGGCATTTTTACACTATAACACATATCTTTTCTGGCGGTCTTTGCCACAGAAGAAACTTAAGTTCATTTAAAACTTAAGTTTACTTAAAAATCAGCGATGAATCTGCTACATAGCCCAATTAATCGGTTTGAGCTGACTTTGCACAGTCTTTTTGAAGCATCTTTTAAATGCCTTTCACCTGTCTTTACACAGCAAAGCATTTCCAGCAGATAAGACAATGGAGAAGGTACAGAAAGGGGAACAAGTCTACAGCAAGAGGAGGGGAAATGCTGACGGGGAGCCGGTCACCAGAGCCAACACTGTATCCAGGTCTGATACACAACTCCGACTTCTATGCCCTCAAGAGGAGTCTGGCGCCCGGCCTGTGTGGCTCAGTGGTTGAGCATTAGCCCATGCACCAGGAGGGGACCAGTTCCATTCATGGTCAAGGCACAGGCCTGGGTTGCAGGCTCGATCCCCAGTAGGGGGCGTGCAGGAGGAAGCCGATCGATGTTTCTCTCTCATCGATGTTTATTTTTTTCTTTTAATCATTTCGAGGAGTGAAAAGAAGAGTAGAGTTTGCAAAAACAAATTCCCCGCAAAATATATTATTGTCCATAATGTATGGCAGGTCAAGTTTATTTCCTTCCAGTGGCAGTAGGAGCGAAAACACATTCATTTATAACTCTGTGTGCAAGTGCATTTTTTGAGCTGTAACTCACCAAATGCATAGTTTGTTTTACTACTAAGACTGCATTTCTGCAATCTCTTGAAAAATACATTATTCCCAGCCTCCCCCACCCTGTAACACTAAAGATCTATAATTCTTCATCAAAAGACCTGAGAACAAATATTTTAAAAATATTCCTTTTTCAACAAATGGCATTTTTACACTATAACACATATCTTTTCTGGCGGTCTTTGCCACAGAAGAAACTTAAGTTCATTTAAAACTTAAGTTTACTTAAAAATCAGCGATGAATCTGCTACATAGCCCAATTAATCGGTTTGAGCTGACTTTGCACAGTCTTTTTGAAGCATCTTTTAAATGCCTTTCACCTGTCTTTACACAGCAAAGCATTTCCAGCAGATAAGACAATGGAGAAGGTACAGAAAGGGGAACAAGTCTACAGCAAGAGGAGGGGAAATGCTGACGGGGAGCCGGTCACCAGAGCCAACACTGTATCCAGGTCTGATACACAACTCCGACTTCTATGCCCTCAAGAGGAGTCTGGCGCCCGGCCTGTGTGGCTCAGTGGTTGAGCATTAGCCCATGCACCAGGAGGGGACCAGTTCCATTCATGGTCAAGGCACAGGCCTGGGTTGCAGGCTCGATCCCCAGTAGGGGGCGTGCAGGAGGAAGCCGATCGATGTTTCTCTCTCATCGATGTTTCTATCTCTCTCTCCCTCTCTCTGAAATCAATAAAAAAAAATTTTTTATTTAAAGAAAAGGCTGGCATTAACAAAGGGAAGTACTAGAAATTTCCGGGTTCAAAAAGGTGACAGACACCGTGTCAAGTAAGGCGAGAGCCAGCTCTTGCCAATCCCCCCCTAACTGACCATCTAATCAGTGTTGCCTTGCTCTCAATTGCAAAGTGGTTTTCCCTTCTTCACGAGACCCAACCTAACTCTGCATTCCCACCCGATCCACGTGTCCTGCCTCCTCTCTTCCTGCTCCCTCCTCATAGGCTCACATGTCTCTCCTTTAATCCCGCCACACCCTACGGAACTCCAGTACAGCAATTACTGTTTGCACAGTAATCATTATTCTCCACAGCTTGTCACCTTAGTAAACACTAAGATACTTGAGGACAAAAACCACTTCTTACCATCTTTGTATTCCCAGTACCTAACATAATGCATGACACCTAATGAATATTCAATGAGTATTTCCTTAGTGAATGAATGAGTGTTCTTAGTGAAACGATTCACATCCAAGACCAGAGGAACTTAGATGCTTGCTTTTAAAAGAGTGAACACATTCAAAATTATCCCGGTGTAACAAACATGTGTTTGACAAAAAAACTTAAATATAAGAATTAAGTTGATGAGAAGTTAGTTGCTTCGAGATTTGTCATTCTCAGACAGTAACTACAATGATCATTCTCCCCAATAAAAATGAGGGGCAAGATTTTAATTATGAATCAGTTTGTAACAGCTATGGATATGTAAACTGCTTTTAAAGACCAGACTTCTGCAATATTAAAATTTATGTATATATATTTGTCTTTTTCTTACTTGTCTTTAAGAAGAAATGGATAATTTCTTAGAAATTATAAACTTTCTATTTAGAAACAATTAGGCTCTTCTCACATTATGTTCTTGGTTTTGTTCTCCAGTTGACGACATTTTCATATAGAACAATATCTTTGTTTCTTTGATCCTCTGCTTTTAAAATGAGATGTATTTATCTCCTTCAGAAATAATTTTCCCTAATTGTGACACAACTAATTTTGTTATTCCAAAAATGGGATAACATCATCCAAGGCAAATGGACAGCAGGGAAACTGAACTCCAGAGAAACAAAAAGTGTGCTTTGCATGAGTGTTCCCAACCCTATTCCAGAGCGAGTTCCCTGAGAGCACTGTCCTTTGTGTTTTGTTCCTGTAGCCACATCACTCAGGAAAACACCCCCTACACAGCAGACGCACAATCTATGCCTGCGGATAAACAAAGAAAGCCAGTCTCCCGGGCCCTCTGCGTGGGGTCGTCAGTGGGAGCTGCTGTCATTTCATGAACCCTCCTAGTGAAATACTTCCTAATAATTACAAAAACCCACAGCACCTCAAATCCAAATGATCAGTGTCTTTGTTTCCAAGGAAAATCCCAATGGTTTATAGAACTGTAAACATTTTCCAAGTCATCCAATTATTCTGTTTTAATAAATGAATCAAAAAAGGCTTAATCAAAACATTAAATGGATATGGCCAACTAAATATGGACTTACTCTACTAGAGTTCGTACCTTTATGTTCATCAAGTTTATAACATTTAATTTAAATATATATCCTTGCCCTATAATATCATGTTAAACAGTGGAAGAAAAATAGATTTGATTCATGTTGAAATTCAGGTAAAAATAGTAGGAACTGCAAGTTTTGTTCATGCTGAAATGTCTCCTGTGCGAGCATTATGTCAATGTTCCCTTTTTGTCTGAACGGAGCCCCGCCCACCTCTGGCGCCAGGTACTCCGGGGTCCCACAGAAGGTCTTCATGGTGGCCGTGTCTGTGATCCCCTCTTTGCAAAGTCCGAAATCTGTGATTTTTATGTGGCCATCTTTATCCAGCATCAAATTCTCCAACTGCATAGGAAGAAAAATGGCATGATTATTCTACAGCCCTCAAATCTAGGAAAACAGTTTAGAAACAATTATGAATGCTGAGCAAGAGATTTTGGAAAGAGGACATAGTTGTTAAAAGAACTTTCAGGACTCACAAATCCTGAAGCTTCGTAATTCCAATATAAAAAGAAACATGTTTTATCAAATATTTTGATGATGAAATTATTGATTTTTTACTCCAATGGGAGTCAGAGCCATTATTGTGTAAGTTCTGAGAACTAAAGCTCACCTAATTTTTCAAAGCAAAAACCAATCCTCTTTTTATGTAAATAAATTGTGACCTAAATAATCCCAAAGAGATGAGTATCTTTTTCTGGATACACACAGATGGTTTTCAACACTTTCTCTTGGGAATCTATTGCTATTATAAAATAGTCACTTACAGAAATGTTTTTTGGTGGTGGTTGCAAATCAAACCTAAATCGTATTTTGAAAGGTAAGGTGGTATATCCTCTTTTGTAGTTCTTTGTGATAAAGAAATACCAACCCTTTCAAACATAAAAAGGTCAAGAATGTCAAAGTCGGTCAACAGTTAATGAAAATATATAGCACAAATATATAATTGGGATCTCTTTGAAGCCATTAATGAAAACACACCCAAGAGAATCTCAAAGATTTAACTAAGGATAAGTAGCAAGATCATCTGCCTCAAGTGAAAATTATGACATGCCAGCGTAGAAGAAGTTTGTGCAAAGCCAATATCATTAAAAATAACACCGATAACATCATTTTTCTCTCCTATTTTGAACCCAAAGTTATGATTGTCATCACACATAGATACGTATAGTTCTGAGCTGTGATCATATAGCCTCACAGACATGGGGCCTAGCCTCACCCACTCATGTAGATACAAACACACGTGAGAAATTATTAACAGAATGAATGAAAATTAACTGATTAAACAAGTAGGCAATTTATTCTACTCCTTAGTGTGATGATCTATGCACGTGCTTACCTGAACTCTGAAGTCAATATCCAATTCAAAACAGAACCCCATATCAGTGGTTCTCAACCTTCTGGCCCTTTAAATACAGTTCCTCATGTTGTGACCCCCAACCATAAAATTATTTTCGTTGCTACTTCATAACTGTAATGTTGCTACTGTTATGAATTGTAATGTAAATATTTGATATGCAGGATGGTCTTAGGCGACCCCTGTGAAAGGGTCGTTCGACCCCCCAAAGGGGTCGCGACCCACAGGTTGAGAACCGCTGCTATATATGAACAGAAATGACTGCATATAAAATGGGATGACATCATACTGTTATACCATCCAATGTCTTATAAACCAGAAACTCAATACAGTAAAGCAAGCTGAGTTCACTCAAGGGAAGACCAGACAGACATGTCCTCAGGTGTGGTTCTCACTGTGCTGCCTGGCTGATCTACATGCTACATACACGCTTCCTTTATGGCATAGAGTTCAGAGAAGTGATGCTGCTGAGCTTTTCACAAAATAAAAGTTCTTGCATTTTATCTAAATTCAGAAATATTGCACCTTCCATATGCTTCTCTACTAGCTGGAACCTAAAAGTAAAGCCTAATTTGCATAAATGACAACGAGTCCATCTCTTCTTCATGCTTCCAGTCTTCTCCCTTTTCCCTTTTCCTTGCTCCCTCTGCGAGCTTGCTGTAATGAGAAAGGGACGTATATACTGGAGGGTCTGTTGTTTTGTTGAATAAAAACATACATGTCCTGCTGTTAATTTTTAAGAAGATGCTGATGGCTTAAATGTAGGAATGTGTTATAGTATATACAAATAAAACCCACTTAAGTTCTTCAAATGCTGTATAATCTTTTAAAAATATTTAATAAATCTGTTTTACCAATACATAAAAAATTCTTATAAAATCTCCAAATGATATTACTGCATAAAATGTGAATGTACTATCTACTCCGTTCCTTCCCACTCCCAGCCTGGTTTGGTGGGGCCCCCCTGCCCTCTCTATGCCTCATGTGCATGGGGAAGCATGCGTGGAAGCATGGCAGCATGCACTATTCCTCCACATTTGGACCAGGCTCCTTTGTCATGTAGTTTAAATCCTGGCTCATAAGTAATTCTCCACCCTCAGATCTCATCTCTGAGCCTCACACCAAGGCCTGAAGGATGAGGAATGAAATGAGGTGTAGGGACAGGGTTGGGAAAGGAATAGATTGAAGGTGGCTGAGAGTTCCAGTTTGCCCAGAACATAAGGGGGTTTCCTGGGCAAACCAGGCCATCCTCCTTGTCTTATGAATCAGCTTTAAAATATTACAATGGTTCAGGAAGCAATAAGGTCAGCCTTAGGAGTTATTGAGAGGTGGGGTGAGGGGCGTGATGGCGGGGTGACAGCACACTGCGTGGAGGCAGTAAGAGCACAATGAATAAGAGTGTGAGGTCGCCCTAGTTGGTTTGGCTCACTGGATAGCGCGTCGGACTGCGGACTGAAGGGTCCCAGGTTCGATTCCGGTCAAGGGCATGTACCTTGGTTGCAGGCACATCCCAGTAGGGGGTGTGCAGGAGGCAGCTGATCAATGCTTCTCTCTCATTGATGTTTCTAACTCTCTATCCCTCTCCCTTCCTCTCTGTAAAAAATCAATAAAATATATTTTAAAAAAAAGAGTGTGGGGTCAAGTTAGTGAACTCACACGTAAATTCAAGCTATACCCCTTCTCACTGTGTGGCCTTGGGCTATTGACTTGTATGTGCCTCAACTTCATCTATAAACCAGAGGCAAGTAACAGTAGCAACAGAATGTGATTGTTTTGAGAATTAAATGAGAGACTGACTCCAGAACTTAACACACTGGAAGCATTCAATGAATGTATTGATCATTATTAAACACTAGAGGCAGGCCACTGTGGGAGCACAGCTCATCCCGGCCAGCCACTGTGGGAGCACACTGACCACCAGGGGGAAGCTCCTGCATTGAGTGCCTGCCCCCTGGTGGTCAGTGTGCATCATAGTGATTGGTCGACCGGTCATTCTGGTTGTTCTGCCGTTAGGGCTTTTATTAGGATAGCATGTAATGGTCGATGTGTAAATTATTAGAATGGTGTGTGCTTATCTAGATAACACTTTTTTTAAAGGAAAGAAGAAAGTTCAAGAACAAAACCCTATGAAACACTTTTGACAGCTCAGTGACTTAGGCAAAAACACGTCTCAATATGCAATAATTTCTTTTGCATAAACAAACAAAACAAATATTTCATAACTTTAAAGCCAGTTATTGTACAATAGTGTTCACCTTTTCCCATCAACTATTTTTCTACTCTCACCGTCCTGAAATATCACTTTGCTGAGCAGGGATGACAGAAACAACTCATCCCCCAACAGTATGAATGACAGTCAGACATGCATCACCTTAAAAAAAACAACCTGGATCCAGTGTATAGGATAAGCCAGGGTAATTCAATATCCAGTCTTGTTAAAATAGGTGTTTTACACAGATGCATAACAACTCTCTGGAACATATAAGGGCCATTCGTGAGCCTGGCTGGCATGGCTCAGTGGTTGAACATGGATCTATTGAACCAGAAAGTCATGACTCCTTTCCCAGTCAGGGCACATGCCCAGGGGTTGCGGGCTCGATCCCCAGTATGTGGCGTACAGGAGGCAGCCGATCAATGATTCTCTCTGATCATTGATGTTTCTATCTTTCTCTCCCTCTCTGAAATCAATCAATCAATCAATCAATAGAATCATCAGTGTTGTGGAGGATGCGCGGAATCAATCACCTGGAAGTCCTTTCCAAGCAGATCACAGACCTGGACAGAGCGGAACACCGGGCGTTACTTCCTAACGCACCTAACACTGACGTACACAGGATTCCCAGCCCTCGGAGCGCTGCCACTATGTAAAGAAGGGGTGCACGCATCTACCAACGATCTCCCCTTGGTTCTCTCTCCTCAACATCCTGGCTTTCCTCTTCCTTCTGTTAGCCACAAACTGCAACATGCACACTGTCGCTGACCGGCCAGGTTCTCTCCCCGGATGAACCTCAGCGCATCTGTTTTATCGCCACAGTCAGTCCTGGTTTACACAGCATTACGCTCATGCTTAACGGGTGCACCCACTGGCAAAAGCAATGATGGAGACAAACGGGGAGCTGGAGAGAGAACATTATGTCTTAGAAATCTGGTTATGCCGACTACTCACATCACAGGGTTGTCATCTAACCGTTCAGAGCAGCGCGCACTTCGAGGAGAGAAAAAATATTAGACAATGTACCTCATGGAGTCCCCATAACAAGGCGACATTTCTACCCAGTTGGAGGGGACAGGCATATGTGACGGAGGGTCTTGGTTCAGGGTCTGAATGCGAACATGTGAGCGCTGGAAATCTTCGCCCTCTGCTCTCTGTGCACAGGAAACTGTAGCAAGAAAGCACTACGGCCCTTCTGCTCTTGCTGGGAGGGACCCGGAAGACAATGAGACTCTAAAAACCCGAAGCTGTGTTTTCTGCGGGGCTTCTCACACCTGCACCGCTCTTCCTGGTACAACAGGAGATGGAATCTGTGGGGAGGACCAGGGTCAGTGCACAGGCTGCTGGAGGCCGGGAGTGACTGGCTCGAGGCTCCCCTAACCACCTGTGGGCTGAGGGCGGCCGCCGTGGCACGCAGGCTGGCAAGCTCTGCTCTCAGACATGCCAAGGTAGCTATTAGAAGGTTTAAATGCTTTTAAACTTTTAAATAGAGTATCCTAATATATGTGACTATATCTTTTAGGTATCATTGTATTTAAATGGCGGACAGTGAGACGAAACGAAGGGATGGAAACAGCAGCTCCTCAGGGCTCTGATGGCTGTCAAACAGTATAAGCAAACAGCTCCTTCACTCACTCTTACACCCACTTCAGCACAATGGCACCAAACTCAGTGCTGCACCGAGACTGCGCAGGCCCAAGGCCGCCGTGAGCACTCGCCCTCTGCACTCTGCAGACCAGGCTCATGGGTATCAAGTGCCAAACGGTGCCCACGCTGACCTGCAGGAACCTAATGGCCCTGGAATTAGAGAGGGCGGACACCCTGGGTGGGAAACACTTCTTCGCTCCGCCCTTCCCAGGCTACGAAGGCTTCAGCGAAGGCCCCACCTGGGCTGCTAAGCTATTGAAGAATTTGCTACAAACTAGGAACACAGCCCAACAGTACAATTTAATTTTTGAGATGGGAGAGGTTCCTAGTAGCCCTGGCGTAAATTTTCTATAAAAGAGGGATCCGGAGGGGCTGTCTGGGTAGCAGTGGAGTTGGGCGCTGTGTCTGGGGACTCAGTGTGTGAAGCCAGCGGGCTGTTTTTGCTTGGAATGGGCGTTTATTTGGGGTGAATGTCGGGGAACTGATGGGGACTGGGAGGTGGTGGTAAGAGATTCTCTGAACCCACCCTCTGTGCCATCACTGAATCCTAGAAATCATCTAAATGTATTTGAATGAACACAAGGTCATTAGAAAGATGATGACAGAGGCAACTCTGAGCCGGATCCAAGTGGATCCCTAAACCAGTTTTTGGTGATGCTGTTTTTTAAATACATCTGGTATAAATATATTTAAAACATTTATTCTCTTATCTTCGGCAACTGTATTTGAATTTTAGGTTTACGAAGATCTCCCGGAGTTCTCAGTGCATCCCCCCATCTAGATCTCATCTCAACTCTAGAATGATGTAATGAAAAGAACATTAGACCGGAGAGAGGATTCATGGGCTCCAATAATCTTGACGATGTCACCAACTTACCCATGACTGTAAGTCACTTACGAGGCTTCTAGTGACTTAACCATGGGTCAGCTCTCAACTTCTATGATACCAACTCAAGGATCTCCCTCTAATCTGTGCAACCCTGTGCCCTACGGATCCAGGTAACATTTGCATGAACTTCTAATGTTTTGCTGTCTGCACTGCATGTATTCTCCTTGGGGTACATTTATATGGTTTCTGCCCCATTTTGTACAGTTACTTAGCCTTTTAAGTGAGGTGAGGTTTTATTTTTAAAAATGAACTTAACAGAGATCACGTAATTGTCTAGTAAAGTGAGTGGTCTAGGTATATGGTAAGTGCATGACTCACAGTCATATATAAATAGGTTCTTTATGTTGCAATTTAACATAATGGATGTTTAACATAATCTAACATAATAAATTCAGTCTTTCCATCATCAGAAAGGATGGAGCAATGCATATCATATTAATGAATGTCAATGCACCGCTATATTCACGGTAACAGGGTTAATGGGTAGTAACATAGTTAATGGCCAATATTGACCAAGACCATCTCAATGATGCCATGCTTCAATCAATGCTGGCATTCTTTACTTTGTTTCTTTAGGCTAAGAATTCTACCTTCCAGCTTTAAATGCTTTGGGTATGTTACCAACTACTTCAAAATTATGATTTCCTTAAATCTAGGAAGTCCCCGCCTTCTTCCTACAAACAGAATTCACAAAATACAAAGTGGGAGTGGGGGGAGGTGACCCAGGCAGAAAAGAGCTAACTATTTCTAAGTAAATTTGGAAATGCCATCTAACATACATTGCAAGTTTTGTTATGCCATATAACCCATTTCTTTTTAAAAAAAATCCCAGACACTGAAACATGACGGTATTAGTTGGCCATGGAGACATCAGATCCAGGGATGCTGCATTCTGTCACAGTCCTGGTCATAAGAAGCTTCAGGACATAGTTATGCCGTTGATCTGTGTTCATCTCTGGTCCCCTGTGGCATGTAGTCCATCATCCCTGACCTGGGTGTTCCATCATCCCATAGTTCATCTCTCCTAAATACAGTACCTTATCGCTTCTTTATACTTCGATAAATTATAATATGCAAACACACACACTATAGTTCACTGACATCGCGTAAAATAAGTCTTTATGAGGTGGTTACTCCTTACGGTGGTTACTCGTAACATAAAGGCACATGACAGGAACACTCTGAAGTCACCTAGACAACTGCTTAACTAATTAGATTCTTAAGGATCATGGGTATTTAACGAAGGGTGGGACGGGAGTGAGGCGGGTAATTGTGGTTCTTCCTTATGTCGCAATATGGAGATACAAACAGTTTCATCAAAGACGCCTATAACCCCTGTTCCTACAAACCAAATTACATTTTAAATAAATTAGTACTTAGTAAATAAAGCAATTCTGTATCAAATTTTCACGGGTCAGGATTACTACATATGATTTACTTACTGAGAAAGTAAGACTGTCACATTTAGAATCTGTACAAAATATGTCACGGAACAACCTTCCTTGACACGGCCCCTGTGATCCCCAACGGTGTCACAAGAATCACTGGCGCCCTCGGGGAGCCACTCCAGGGCTCAGGACACGGGCCCGTGGGTGACATCGGCCTCCTGCCTGTTTGGGTGGCCAGTTTCACGGGAACCCGGGCGGGCTCACTCATTCCTGTGCTGTCTGGCTGCCCTCAGCGATGGCGGAGTTGAGGAGCCGCAAAGGGACTGCATGGGCCACAAAGCCTAACATCTTTCCTATCCGACCCGCGTGGCTCAGTGGTTGAGCGTCGACCTATGAACCAGGAGGTCCTGGGTTAATCCCGGAGCTGCTCCAAAGGCCTCATCAGAGAGGAACTTGGAGAAGTAAAGTCACTCTGATCAAGAAAACAATGGCAGCCCCTTTTAAAATGCAAAGGAAACCAATGCCACGCTATATTAAATGCTCCAGGTGTTTAATCCACCAAAAAAGTGAATACCAAAATCAAACCACATATTCTCCTCCAATAAAGTCTTATTTATTATAAAATTTCTTCATAATACATCATCGGATGTTAGACTATCATAATGAAACTTCTTTTCAAATGTCACTTGCATAGATACTTGACTTTTAATCAGATGTTTAACATTATCCAGAACATTTACAGAAAACTGAAACTGTTATGAAACTGTTATTGGTAGATCATACTTAGTCAGGGCAGTCAAGCAGAAATTCTTATACATCAAAATCTTGAACATAGTCAGGACGGTGTGGCTCAGTGGTTGAGCGTCAGCCTATGAACCAGGAGGTCACGGTTCGATTCCCGGTCAGGGCACATGCCTGGGTTGCGGGCTCGATCCCCCGTGTGAGGCGTGCAGGAGGCAGCTGATCCATGATTCTCTCTCATCATTGATGCTTTTCTCTCTCTCTCTCTCTCTCTCTCTCTCCCTTCCTCCCTCCCTCCCTCTCTCTCCCTCTCTTTCTCTCTCTCCCTCTCTCCCTCTCTGAAAGCAATAAAAACATATTTTAAAAAAATCTTGGACATAAAGGAACGACATACATAGCAGTGAATGCAATTTTCTCTCAGGTGCGGTAACTACATCCTTACACAGAATGCTTTTCTGCCCGACCAAATCTGCTTTTCTCCGAGCTGTGTAACTCTGTAATTACTTTGTCTGTCCCCACAGCCCCTACAAAAACAAATGCGGATTGCTGCTGTGCGTTCTCTTACCTTCAGGTCCCGGTACACGATCTTCCCCGAGTGCAGGTAGTCCAGGGCCGAGACGATCTCCGCGCCGTAGAAGCGCGTGCGGTCCTCGGAGAACACCCGCTCTCTCGACAAATGGAAAAACAGCTGCGGGGTAAACAGCAGGGACAGGATTGTAATAATTACTGATTTAGTGGGGAAATTAACACAAACATAAAACACCTCTCCTCGCCATATTGTGATGATAGAGGGTGTACTCTCCGCGGACACGCAGCCTCCTCGACAGCAGCTGGCTTCTCTCGCCCAGGCTTCCAGGGGGGGTCTGCGCTCTGCGAAAGCAGCGTTTTAATCAATACACCCATCTTGCCGCAGGCATTCTGCTTGCTCCCCATTTAACCTTCCGTTACCCGAGGAAGGGGGATGCGCCACTGACTGCGTGCCCCCCTCGCTCTACGGCTGCCTCACTCTTCCCAGGATTAGGCGTTGAGCATTATTAAAATAAATGCACACGAGCGGGGATGTAGTCGCTCTATTTAATGACCCGATTTATATCTGATTTCAAAGGAAGGGCTGCTGACTTGCTGAAGCTGATGTGTGAGGACCTGCTCTGTTCTACGACTGCTGACCCGTCACGCGGCCTCTAGAAATGTCCCCACAGTTTGCATCCGTGTTTTCTATGGTGAGAAACGGTAAGGCATATGTTTTTACTGTAGTGATGCCCACAGCCGTCTGAGAAGCTCCCACTGTCCCCCTTGTAATTCTCAAGGCCTCTTCTTTCTATTTTCAAAATGAGCCACAGCACCCATCTTTTCTCATACAAACATACACGGTGAGCCCAGCCACTCCTTAGCTAGTCACCACTTGGCAGCCGACAAGTATGTATTGGGTGCCCTCGGCGGCCCAGCACCCAGCCCCCATGCAGTCAGCTCTCAATAAAGCTGCCTCCTCCATCTCCCAGTGGGACCAGGTAGAGAAGGAGCAGGCGTCAGGCACACGGACCCCTGCTGGACTATCTCACTCGACCAAGAAAACCCAAGAGCAGGAGAGCTTGTTGACGGCGCTGAGTACACAGCCAGGTGTCATGGCAGATGCTCCGCACACGCCTGTGATGATACAAGTGAGCCTTGACTGCAAGATCAGAAATCAATACCTTCCACGGATGAGGGACTCCCAGCGCGTCTACACATTCCTAACAGGTCCAGTTGACGACATTTGTGCCGCGCACATCAAACCGTAACTCAGGTGACACACAAGAGGTGCCCTAAGATTCCGTCCTCCCTCTCCCACCTCCACCTCCACTGAGGAGTCTGCCATTGTATTGGCATAAACTTTGTGCCGAGCCCACTGCCACAATAAAGAGAGACAGGTAATACCACGTACCTACTAGTATCACCAAAAACAACTAGCTCAACCCTAGTTAAAGCAAAGCTAAACTAGTAGGTCGATAGTCTCGAAGCTTTAACGCTCTATCATACTGCCCTATTTTATCAACTCCAAGATGCTACTGACTGGGACTCCATCATTATTTTATGTTTACTCCAAGTAAGAAAAAAAAAGCCAATAAAAAGTCAAATAAAATCTATGACACTCCATCAAATATAAAAGGCATTCTCAATGCAGAAATGTTAACTGTGTCAGACCAGGAATCCAATATACTATGCCAAAAATCAAACTAATGTATACAATTCCTCAGGGGTGTTTTTTTCTAGAGGCTAATGGAGAAGGTGATTGGGGAATCTGATATATATATATATATATACACACACACACACACACACATATATATATGATATTATGTATTATAATATATAATGCATATGAACAGGCATATATACACAATCCATTACCATTCAAACAAGGACAGGGAGTAGACAGAAGCATGGAACATCAGTAAAACCATTCTGAACAATTTCTGGGTCAAAATAATTTCTGCCATGCATTATTCAAAATATCACTAACTAATGAATGAACCTGTGCCCTCTATGTAGATTTGTAGATTTATGGTAGCGTTCTAATGGAATGAAAATAGTGGTTAAATTTATAAATTTTCTTAAAATAACATCAAACCTACTACCCACTCATCTACGGGACAAAACTTATGGATGCTCCCTACATCAGCATAATGCATGCGGGATTCTAGATCTTTATTTAGACCACACACATCTTCGATTTGTCTCCCAGCCAATTTCCATAAAAATAGATGCTAAAATTTTTACTTAAGGAGAATTCTATTTATTTCTCAATCTGCTGTCCTCTGAGTCTGCCCTTGCTACTCTACGGAACTTATTCTTGTTAAGATAACCAAGCACCTCTTAATTGCCAAATCCGATTACTTACATCTGGACCCCCTCCTTCCTGTTCTGGAGCTTACACATCACCCATCGTCCTCTCCTGAAGCATGTTCTTGGCTTTGGTAACACAACTCTTCCCTGACTTTCTACATTTCTTGGCTTTGAGACAAGTTTCCAATCAATTATTTTAAAGTCCCTGTGTTGGCACAGGGAAGAGAAGAGAGAACGTACTTGGTAGAGACAATCCCTGACCTCAAGACATTCAACTCAAAGGAGACACATGCAGAGATAAAATCCAAGAGAGCTGTGATACGTTGTCTACTTCTGATATTAAAAATGATTTGGAGGCGAAGAATGATTCATCTTCATTGAGATGATCCGAGGATATTTCACAAATAAGGATGGAACTTTTCGCAAATGGAGAATATAAGGGAAGCCTTTCAAAGATTGCTATTCAAGTTGTATCCATCTTTGTATTTTGAACACAGCCTAGTACAGTACCTGCACATAGTAGTTAACTAATCAATGTTTGATAAAGAATTAATTCTAAAAAGAAAAATAAAACAATGGCAAGAAACACACACACAAGGAACACACCCAGCTGAAGAATAACCCACAATCCAGGCAATGACGGGATTTAGGTAAAAAAAAGATGAGGCCACATCTTTTAGGACCTCGAGTGCCAAGATATGGGGGTCGAGATTTATTCTGAGATAAGAAGCGTCAAAGAATTTTGGGTTAAAACAATTAGCATAATTAAACAACAACAACTCTGGCAGCCATTGGAGCATCAATTAACCAGATCTGAGACTACAGTCAGGTAAACACTGTAACAAAAACATCACTCAGCACCTGTTAGTGCAATTGCTGTGAAAAGCTGACACCATGAGAGAACGTGGTAGCAATCCGCAAGGACACTGTGATTTGGTTAGGACAGCCAGCGATATGAGCAATTCCGCGGAACAGTCTGCTAGTTATAAAACAGCGCATTGAAATCAGTGAATGGGCATGTCGGACAATATCTGACAATATCAGAAGTCACACACGAGCTGAACGACAGCTGAGGGACCTCAACTACAGCAGCTCAAGAGTCAAAATTCCAGAGGGAACTTGCCTGCACCATTGGGGTCAGGGGAGAGAGTGACAATGTTGGGGTTTCCGTGGACGATTGAGTGGATGTTACAGCCAGCAGTGTTGAGGAAGAAAATGGGGACAGAGGAGCAATGGATTTTGTTTGACCTGTTAACATATAAATATGCATTTGATACCGCGGCTTTGAAAGTGGGCCCCGAGGGTATAGAGGTAGACACGAGAGTCATTTATATAAAGACTAGAGGCCCGATGCATGAAAATTCGTGCAAAAGTAGGCCTTCCTTCCCCCGGCTGCTGGCACCGGCTTCCCTCTGGCACCCAGGACCCGGGCTGCTTCCCTCCTCTGGCCTCCTGCAGGCACCTGGGACCCAGGCTGGCTTCCCTCGGGCCACCCGCAGGCACCCAGGACCCAGGACATCTGGAATGATGTCCGGAAGATGTCCGGTCTAATCAGCATATTATCCATTTTTTAGTATAGATATTGTTACAACCAAGGCAGCACGGGATAGCCCAGGAATTCAGTAGGAAATTAAAATAGAATAAGCTCAGAATCTTAGGAAACACTACACATAAGGGCAGGAGAAGGGAGCAGGACGCCGAGGCGGAGTCCTAGAAGTGTAAGAGGAAAGAAGAATGCACGTGAAGAAGGAAGGAAAAGCAAGTTTCCAGAAGGAATCAGCGTTTACCAGGCACAGGAACGAGGTCATGAGTTACCTTCCAGGGAAGAGATGTCATACTTAGATGAGCTCAGGAGAAGATGTAAAGGCAGAAATGGTATGCGACGCCTTCAGAAAAAAATGAATGAGATGAGCCAACGTATTACTGAAAGGGAAGATTTCTGCTACAACATATTAAGTAATGCTTTCAGGGAAACTTTTGCCTAAGGAAATGGAGAGATGCTATACCGTAAAGCTACAATTCATATGGAAGAGGCACACCAACGAAAAGATCAATAAAATCAGACAGCCAGAATCTGGTTATTTTGTAGAAATTTAGTATCTGACAACACTGATGATGACAATGTGTGCCAAAGTATATGAGAAAAAAATGACTAACAAATGGTGATACAATAGTTGGTCAAATTTGGAGAAAAGTAAAATTGACTTTTCATCTCACATCATAACAACATACATTTCAGATAGTTAAATATAAAATATGACGCTTTTTAAAAAAAGTTGAAAATATGAATCAATAGTTTTCAGATCTCAGGATGAAAGATTTTCCAAGCAGAAAAGAAGTGAGACAAGACATAAAAGGAAACGCTGGTAGAATTAACTACATGGAATAGCAGCAATATAAATGACATTGAATATTTATAGGAAATATGACAACCCAAATGTCCACCACCAGCGGACAGATGAGCAAATGTTGGTGGAGCCAAGCCATGCATATGGATGGTGACTCAGCAATAAAGGAAAACTACTGAGAAATGCAACAAAATGCATAATCTCCAAACATAAGGCCGGGGAAAGGAGCAGACACAACAGAGTGTGTGCTGTCTGACTCCGTCTCTGAGAAATGTTAGAAACGGTGAATCAAGTCTTCAGCATCAGAGAGCGGATCATTGGCTGCCTCGGGCCTCCTGAGGATGCGGGTTTACGCCAGAACTGTCTGAGGCAACAAGAATATTCTGTGTCTTTATTGTAACGAGGACGCCATGTACAGATATTTGTCAAAAGTCAATAAAGTGAGTCCATTTTACTGTAAGTCGATTATACATACATACGCAATGGGAACAATCTCAATGCTCAAAAATTTGGTAGG